CACCAGAAGCGCCAATATTATTCGAACTTAAGTCCAACTGGGTTAATGTAGCATTGACTGAAAGAGCCTGAGAGAGAGAACCAACACCAGAAGCGCCAATATTAATCGAACTTAAGTCCAACTGGGTTAATGTAGCATTGACTGAAAGAGCCTGAGAGAGAGAACCAACACCAGAAGCGCCAATATTATTCGACCTTAAGTTCAACTTGGTTAATGCAGTATTGACTGAAAGAGCCTGAGAGAGAGAAGCGGCAGCGATATTATTCGAACTTAAGTTCCACTGGGTTAATGTAGCATTGATTGAAAGAGCCTGAGAGAGAGAAGCAGCACCTGCAGCGCCAATATCATTCGAACTTAAGACCAACTGGGTCAATGAAGTATTGAGTGAAAGAGCCAGAGAGAGAGAAGCAGCACCACAAGCACCAAAATTATTCGAACTTAAGTCCAACTGGGTCAATGTAGTATTGACTGAAAGGGCCCGAGAGATAAGAACAAAGTGTTCTTTGCTAAGTCTGTATGTCGATGAACTTAACTTCAAATTAGTCAAAATGGTATTGGATGAAAGACTTTCCAAGAAAAAGTCTAACCGCGGAATCATTTCTGAGGTACAGGCCTTAAGATGTAGGTGAGCCCCAAACACATGAAGCAGTTGGGACCGAAGGCTTTCCTTACTTTTGCCACATTCCCCTATTAAAGAAAATGCTAATTCTATGGTTCTCTTAACTTCTCCAAATTTAAAATTCCCACTTAGTGTATTTACATGATCAGTAATTTTTCGTAAAAGACACTTAGCACTTTCCTCGCATTGATCAACAACAACTCCACACATGTGCAAAAACACTTCCCGCAGTTCTGCCTGAAATCTTTGATCTGTGTTTGTGATTTCTGATTCATCTTCTTCTCTAATATTCTTTAAAGCAAGATGAAAACCGGCGAAGAAATCTTGAAAGCTCTTGTGCAAAAAGCGATAACGAAAACAAGGCTTTCTCTTACTACCTCCAGACTGGACTGACAGAAATCCAAACTTTTCTAAAGCCTTCAAGTCGTTACCATTTACTTTGCTTTGTTCGACATACAGCTCACCCTTAAGAAGAGACTGTAACGCTATACGTCCCAAGCTTCTGAGTACATCCTCGTAAACTTCAATTTTGTCTTCGTTGTCGCTGGAAAATCCGTTCTTTTCTTCATATCTTCTCAAGACACACCGTACGATTTCAATGTATAAATGGGTTCTGCTCTCTGGAAAAGCTTCTTTAAAGTCCTCACAAAGAATGCACAGTAATGCAGTGTTAAGAGGATTTGATATCAGCTGGGATAAATCTGATC